AGTGAGGTAGGTGCATCGGTGATGTTGGGAGGGGACACCCTGGTTTTTGGTCAAAACTATGGTTTGAAGCCAATTTTACCACACAGTTTTGCCCCAAAACCGGAGTGTCACCCCCGACGTGCCTACATCACTTCCGGGTGACGTAGGCATGTCGCATTTACTTCTGGGTATGTCACTCCCTGCTCCCCGAACACTCCCCTCCATCCCCCCACCCGTGGGTCCTAATGGACCTGGCAATCCCTATGCAGCAGCCATCACATGCAACAGGGGTTATGGGAGGGAAGCTGCCAGGGGCTGAGAGCTCCTGCAGGCCACCTCCTGCATAACCAGGCTCGGTTGCCTTGCTAGGGACACATGGTCAAGGGATACCAGTGAGTTATATGAGACCAGGGCTATTTTGGGGCAGGAACGCACAGGAACAGAGTTCCGGCTGGCTCCGGAGTTGGCCACGCCCAGCAGGAGCTCATTAGCATAATAGGCCACACCCAACAGCAGAAACTCATTAGGATTGGCTACATTAGGGGTGTATGGCCTAACATGCAAAGGAGTTCCTGCTACAAAAAAGGCCCTGGGTTTTGACAACAAACAAGGTAAACAGAATAACAAGCGAAAGGTGGGTGTGGCTGGATGACCACACTTCTGGTAACACAAGGGGTGTGGCCTCATATGCTAATGACCTATGCTGTCAGGGTGTGGCTTAATATGCTAACGAGCTGTGATATCAGGGGTGTGGCCTAATATGCTAATACGTTTCTGCTGTTGGGTGTGGCCTATTATGCTAATGAGTTCCTGCTGGGCTTTTTCTACAAAAAGAGCCCTGCATGAGACTAATGTAAAGACCTGGATAGCCCAGGCAAGCCCGAACTTGTCAGATCTCAGAAGCCAAGGGGAAACCACTTCTGAACGCCTCTCGTCTTGGAAACCCTACGAGGCTGTCGTAAGTCAGCTGTGCCTTGATGGCAAAAAATTAAAATGAATAAAGACATCCAACGCAGCAGAGGGGTTAGAGTGCTCGACTAGGATCTAAGAAATCCAGGTTCGAGTCTGCACACGGCCACGGAAACCCGCTGGGTTGCACACTCTCAGACTAACCTACCTCACAAGGATGCCATGGGGACAGAACGGAGGCGAAGAGGGCGATACGTGCCACCTTGGGTTCCCATTGGAGAGAAAAGCAGGGCATAAATGAAGTACATAAATAAATGTCAGTGGTCCTGACGTATTTTAGCTTCAGGGAATCCTTTCCGTTATCACCTTGTCTACTGAGAAACCCTGGTCACACCCATGGAGGGACCCAAACACACTGCTTTGCTGCAGATCGGGGTGTGTGTGTGTGTGCTATGTCAGTGATAGGGAGACCAGCCTTTCAGGGAAGTTCTTCTAACACGATAGCTTTCTCAGATCAAAGATATAGCTGGAAGGGTGGTTGCTCAGTGACAGAGCCTCTGCTTGGCATGCAGAAGGTCCCAGGCAGTGTTCCTTCTAAGCTGAGCTAGTGTGAGCTGGCTCACAGTTTTTTAGCCTTCGGCTCACACATTTTTGTCCTGGCTCAGGAAAGAGGGCTCCAGGGCAAACTAATTTACGCAGTAGCCAAATAAATCGCTCGCTCACAACCTTAATGCCAACAGCTCACAAAGTAGAATTTTTGCTCGCTAGACTCCACTGTTTAGAGGGAACATTGGGGGTCCCAGGTTCAATCCCCGGTATCTCCAGTTCAAAGATCTGGCAGTAGGTGATGGGAAAGACCCTTTTCTGCCTGAAACCCTGGAGAGCTGCTGTCTGTCTGAGTAGACAATACTGACTTTGAGGGACCCGGGGTCTGATTCAGTGTAAGGCAGCTTCGTGTGTTCATGTGACAGAGCCACCCTGTTGAAGCGAAGCAGACTCAGGCCTGCTCAGTGCTTAGATGGGAGACTGCTTGGGAACCAGGGCGGCCAGCTCCAGGCTGAGAAGTACCTGGTGATTTGGGGTGTGTGTGTGTGGAGTCTGAGGAGCGTGGGGTTTGGGAGAGACCCTGGCAGAGTAAGATGCCACACAGTCCAACTTTCAAAGCAGCCATTTTATTCAGCTGATCTAGTTTCTGTCACCCGAAAATCGGTCGTAATCCCAGGAAAACTCCAGCCACCCTCTGGAGGCTGGCATCCCTACGGGGAACCCTGTGCATGCCATCTCCGGTTCGGTCATCGAGGAAAGGTGAGACATAAATGTAACATAAATGTAACATTGTGCAGGGGGCTGGACTAGATGACCCTGGAGGTCCCTTCCAACTCTATGATTCTATGATTCTATGAAACTGACCAGCCACCCTGAGTTTCGCACAACACCGTTTGAATATTGTGTATAAACCAGGAGCAGAATCATTTCCCAGGCTTTAAACCGGAGTTCATATATGCTCGCAGCAGGGTCTATGTTATTCTAGCAAGGGAAACTTTGATGCACTTTAAATAACCAAAGAAATCAGCACCGTCACCTTTAACTGCAGGAAGCGGGGGGGACGTCCCCAATGTGACGTCATCACGTTGGGATGCCCCGCCCCCTCCAGGAATGTCCCCCAAAGTCCCCCGCCGGGGGGGGGGGAGATAGCACTTGGCAACCCTACTTCCCATTCTAAGAGGGAAAGTTTGCACGCCCCTCAACTGGACACTCTACCTGTCTCTTCTCCCTTGTATGAACAAGAGGCCTCTTGGCCATTCCAAACTGCTCTGCTGCCCCTTACTGGAGGAGACTGATGCTTGGAGTGGCAAAGTTCCTGTAAAGAGCAGCCCCCCCCCCCAAACTCCAGACCTTTTGGCTTACGAATTCAGACCACTGCTGAGTTACACTTTATAGAGAGAGGCACCTCAAACTGGCAAAGAATAAAATAAAAAAAATCCTCAGATCTGCAATGAGCTGAACTTAAATAATAATTGAGCTAAGTTCAATTTTCAACTTAAATAATGGAACACACTCTTGCGTGCCAGGCTAGAAATAGCTACGAGAGCAGGGGCTTGGAACAGAAAAGCTGATGGTCGAAGCGGCTCTAGGAGCGGAAGCGCCGGTGGGGGCAAGGCCGGGCCACGGGTATCACGGCTGGGCAAGGGGGCACCGCGGAAGCGTGTCGGGCACCGTGTTCCGGAGGAGAGCTGCCTCTGCGCCCCAGCCAGCCGGCTCGTTTGTTCCAGTCAGACAAGGAGCTGGAGAGCTGCAGCCAATTTGGATACCACGACCATGTGCAGTTGATTCTGTCCAATTGTGGCTGCACTCACGTGTCCCCCACTTGGCCACAGAAAGAGTACAGAAAGTTCCTGGGCCTGAGAACAGCCAAGCCCTCTTAGTGACTCACCTTGGACCGGCTTGGGTTTCCTGGCTCTGACCCCTGGCATTCTTGACCCCACCTCTGGCTCATCCTTGGCTCCTGAGCCTGCCTGGACTGCGCCCAGCGTCAGGGGCTGAGCCTGAATCCTCCTTTGGCCCGGCTTGTCCCACTGACTTGGTTTGCATATCACTTCCAAGAGGACGAGGACTCAGAGCCGGCAGCTTTCACACACTCCACAGTGGCCAACCTTTTACGGGGGCGGGGTACCGCATGCCCAGTCCAGAGGAGGAGTCAGGCCCATTCCTGCCCACATCCTAATGAATCTGTAGCCCCTGTGCTAGAGAGGAGGCAGGCCAAAACAAAACAAAAAGCTCA